TCTTCCAAATTTTTTATATAATATTTCTGAAGAAGGCTTCATCAATCAGCATATATTATTAAAAAATATCTCTATCCTTCCGTCACTCCAGCCAGGATACATAGTCACATATTTTGAGATGTAGATTTCTACCAAAATTTTATATAATAATTGACTAATAATATTTTTTACTTACTTTTCGGCAGATAATTCAGAGGGATCTCTAGTGCTTCGATTTTTGAGCTAACCACTAATCCCCAAAGAGACTAACACTCATATTCTCATCATCCGACTCAGAAACTAGATCTTTATAGATTCTGAGTGACTCTATAGCCAAGCCTTTAATTACAACCCTATCACCTAGTATTTTGATCCAAATTAAATCTATTAAATCTCTTCTTAACGAATCTGCAAATAGTTGTGAAGAAGCAAGAAATAAGTGTTTACAGATCGAAGCACTATCATCTGACTCAGAAACTGAAGATTCAGAGACTTTGGATTGAAGAGCCTCAGTCCCATACTTCTGCCTTATCTGATAATTTAGCAAATGAAATCTACCTGAATGATTAGGACAACATCCTATAGTAGAAAGAGTATATTTACGACAACCACTAATAAGGCAGGGTTTTTTTTCTATATTTTTTTCATACAATTTCCAGTGCCTATAACACCCAGTGGGGTTACAGCACTTATTTTCACAAATAGTGTTATCTTCTTGATAAATGCACAAGTAAAGTGAGACATAGTCAAAGATGCTAAAGCAAAAGTATTTTAAGATATAAAATCCTCTTTAACTTTTAATTTCATAATAAGATATGTATTTAAATTAATTGGTATTATAATGAGATAAATTATCTTTTCATACTAACGCTATGGATACATTAGATTAACCAACAGAAGCTCGCAAAAAAATCTTTAATCCTAAATCTAATCGCATGATCATTATAAATGGGCCAGCATATCGTAAATTGATACATGATGGATATATGCATTGGATAGAAGAAAGAATTTTGATTCTGCTTTTACATGAAATGCCAATATTAAGAAGATACTTTTCTTTTATTTCCTATTATATTTGGGCTATTGCATCAAAGAAAAGTTTGCTAACGGTGATTAATGAAAAAAATAGGTCTATTGAAAATTTTGCTCAAAGCCAATTGGCATAATCTCATTTTATGTCAACTATTAAAATTATGCTGGGAGCGTGAAGAGATGAAAGTTTGGAGAAATAACGTACTCATAAAATTCCTCCATTATCTGAATTTAGTTCCTTCGAAATATAGACCAAGTGCTTTATATGATGCATTCACTAAGACAAATGTTTTAGGACTGGAACATATATTAGCTCTAGCACGAGCATTTTACTGAAACGTGAATATGATACAAATTTATTCATAGTCACAGAACCCCATTCCATGGCTATATTTTTTTCGCATATCTTATCTACCCGCAATTTTAAAATATATATGTGAAAGATATTCCAGCCAGAGCGGGTGGCCTCTGCATAAGTTAAAATATTCTTTTGCCTACCAACCATGAGGTAGTGAAATGGTAGAATATTTTTTTTGAATTGAACTTTTTTCTGTAGTATATTACCAAATGACCTACATAATACTAAATAACCTACATATTACTAAATAATACTATGGTTGGCATTGCTACTAAGTATGTAACAAAAAACAGGCTCAATAACAAGATGAGTATTGAAGAGCTCACTCAATATGCACCAAAAATTAACATCCTTTTGACGGATAAAGTTAAGAGGAATCAGGCATGACGACATCTCCAAAAGGGATATAACTTTAGCAAAGAATAGGTATTTGCATTGATTCCTAAGCTGACGGCTGGTCCGAAAAAGGTAAAGCCATATCCCATAATACTTCATATACTCTCAATATTCTCCAAGAAAAAGAACCGGTGGAGGGAGGCACAGTAAATGTATGCCAAATTTCACAAAAAGAAACTATTAGAGATTTGGCCTAGCGTATCATTTGGGATAATTTTGGTGAAGCAGAAGTAAAAGTTATAGCTAAAGCCTTAGCTGAATCTGCCTCTAATGCTAGTACCGGTTATCACGAATCTCTAGACTCTGAAGAGAGTTGCGAAATCTCAAAGCCTCAGAAAAAATTATCTTGGTTACATTAATTCTAGACATAATCTGTTCAGCTAATAAAATCCAAAAGGGGTGTAGTAAACAATGTGAAGATGAAGGGATTCATTATCCAGACCACTTCTCATTAGAATTAGTTAAGGAGAGATTGGATGTGTATGATATATCTAAAGCTTCTGGCTTACAAGCCCTTGCCGATGTAATGATAATGTTCTGCATTCGTCCTGCTGAAATTAAAACATTGTGTATATCTAATGGAAGCGTAACTGGATATGTAAAAAATCAGAGACAACAAGATATTCCCTGGGTATTTAGATCACTAGAGAAAGACGAGGAACGGGCGAAGCAATTGCTTATATAGATTCAGAAAGCAATTTCTTCTGGATAGTTAAGAGACCCAGGAAAGCCAGGTATATTATGGTTTAATACATTTCTGAAAAAAGATGAGTTCCTTCCTGAAATTGGTAAACTACTACTCCTTAGTTCTTTACGCAATCTAGGAGCTGTGTTTGCAGTTGCAACACATTGTGCAAAGAATTTGTCAAAAGCTGGTACAATTTCTGATAAAGCACTTCGCCACAGTCCTGACAACTATGCCTCTTCATCTAAGAGATATATTATAGTAAATTATTGAAAAAGAGGAGAACCTTATAATCAGGCAATGGTATTCAAGCTTTTTGACGAAAACTAATCACATAAATGGGTTAGATATCATTTATTAATTTTATTTTTTCGTTCGAGACAAGATCTAGCATATAGAATATATCACGAAAATGGTAGCTGATCAAAAGCATTTATCTGATATATCTAGCAAGCAGGAAGTTATCAGGCGTACAGAAAAATAGCCAAGTTATTAGGGCTAGATGAGCAAAATTCAAAAGTATATAATGTGCTTTCTGAGGAAATTAGGGCGTTAGCGAAAAAGCTAGATAATTATCATTCTGAGTATAATAGCTTAAAAAAGACGGTAAAAAGATTAGAAAAAGATGTAAAGTTCTTATAGACTGAATATTTGGATGAATGTGTAGATAGGGAGACTGTGGTCGACTTAATACATGAAATAGTTTCCTCGCTGATTAGTAAAAAAGATAAGGATTCCTTCTATTCGTCTGAGTCTTCTGAAGAATCTGATTTGATTGAGATAATTGAGGTAAGAGAAAAAAAGGATGTCCCTCATAAGCAACGAAGGAGGCGTGACTGAGAAAGGTTAAACGGGTGGTAGTTTAAAGAGATGAATCAGGCACTTTGCATATTTTCGATCAAAGATATTAAGTTTATCAGATAAATAATCAAAATGGAAAGTGACTAAAAGCATCTGATAGCCTTAACCAATATCCCGTCCAAATCTACTTTGTCTGAGACTAGTTCATCTGAATTAAGCTCATCTAAGAGTAGTTTGTCTGAGTCTAGTTCATCATCTGAGAGTAGTTCCTCTGAGACTAGTTCATCTGAATCAAGTTCATCTGAAAGTAGTTCCTTTGAGACTAGCTCATCTGAATCCAGTTCATCTGATTCTGATATTGATGAAATAGTAAATATAATTAAGCATCAAAGGATTCAGAAGCACATAGCCTGATGGAGAGATCAGGGGTAAAATGCATATAGCAAAAATAAGATTAATCAACTTCCTGATCACCTAACTAGTCTAGAGCAGTGAATAAAGGTTTATTTTTTATTTGAATATTATATGTTATAATAAAAAATGGTGTTCGTGAATTGTGAAGTCAAAGAAAATATCCCTATTGAGGCATTAATTAATATAAGCGCTGATGTAAATTGCATTAGCTAAAAATATATTGGTAAGTTAGAAATTGCATATCACGATGAAAATAATAGCATTAAAATCCTGGATGCATCCTATTTCACAATAGGAAAGGTTGATCTACATATCGGCTTTAATGATGGCAAGAAACATAAAAGCACACCTAGTGAATTCATAGTTGTTGGACCAGATTGGCCGGGATCTGATTTAATCTTGAGAAGTCCTTGGTTCCAAGAAAGTGGTGCAACTTTAGATATACGTAATTCAAAACTATTATTAGACAATAATTTTGTGATCCTATTCGATAACTCAGAGCAGTGATCATCTGCTCAGAAGATTTTTCTGATTTTAAGATATTCTAACTGTATAAAAATGCATACAGTTAATTTACTAGAACAACTTCTGCCTAAACTATTACCATCTATTCTAAAGTATCTTCTAGAATGGATCTAGAAAATTTTCACAATATAAATGATGTATGGAAAAGAGAAGCGAATCTTGAATGGACCAAAAGAAAGGAATTTTTATTTGAAAGAATAGTTCAAGGCAATTATACAGTAAAGGAATTTTATTTGAAACTTAAAGAGTGTAATTTAAGCAAAGACTATTCAGAATGGCTTCTTAAAAATCTATTCCTTGGGAGATTATCACCTGAGAATAAGATAAAAGTTCTTATAGATGGTTTACAGGAGCTTGCATTAGATAAGATAGTGGAAGGGTTCAGTCCAGAACAGTGATCTACCAGCTCGGCTAATTTATTTTTTCGATTAAAGATATAATATATAATACAGACTATTTATGATGCATTTAACTATCTTTTATTTACCAGATAGACAAGCTAATTAAGCTTTGCGGTTTATTGCTGAGTCACATCATGTGTCCTGCACGACAAAAAATATAGATTAGATAACCTGTTTTAGACATGAACACTGAAATGTATCAGCTGAATTTTTACGAAAATTATTCGCAATATAACATTAAATATCGTATTCCTCTGAAAATAAGCACCACGTTATATATATGAATTTATTAGTATATACGTGACAAATAATATAATAAATTCCATATGATAAATAAATAAATTACTATAAAAGGAGCGTATCACAGGGTGCTTATTTTCAGGGATATACAGTAATTCTTAGAAGAAGGATGACTAATCCATTAAATTTGGCTGAAATACTAGTGTCAATCCTAAATTTTTTATTAGCTGACAAGGCTCTTTATCCTATCTTATTTATTAACCGATTTTGGTATTATACTGTAGGACAGATACTATGGAAGCATATCGAATTCTTAGACTCTTTACGGCAAAAAAAGTTTTTACGTATTTGCAGAAACTTAAAACCATTTCATGGAATAAATGTAAGAAATCTCATTTTCGTATTCTCTTACGATGAATTTTCGGACAAAGACATAAATGAAATAATAGGCTCATGCCTAAATATAGTATATCTAAATTTCAATAATACACGTAAACTAGCTATCAGTAAAACTGCAATTATTAATATAACACATTCATATCCAAATATATTAAGGCTAGATCTCTTAGAATATAGCTTTATTACTGATACTGCTATTAAAGAAATAGCGAAATCATGTCATAAATTAGAACATCTTGATATATATGGCTGTGATGGTGTTACTGATTCAAGTATTCATGACATTGCGCGATTATGTCTTAAACTCAAATATCTAGACCTCGGTAATAGTATGATTGGTAATTCAGCAATCAGAGAAATTGCTCGATCATATCATAATCTAAAATTCCTTGGCCTAGAGGCCTGTAAAGGTATTAGCAGAAATGTATTATAAAAGCTTGATCAGAATATCAAGATAGAATGGCCTGATTCAGATAGTGATAATGAGTCAAATCTATCTGACTCAGAGTGGTGATCACTAGCTCGAAATATTTTTGCTGAGTCCTCTGACAAAAAATATTAATTAGCTAAGATACGAGCACTAGCTGAATTTTTCACACAATTGAAATAATGAAAGCCTCTTCAGTAAAATAAAAATTTTACCCTCTATTGATATTACTATACTTGGAACATTTCCTAAGGAACCGTCAGAAGTTTTGAAGATATGCTCTTGCATTTTTATTAGCTTCTTCTAATTCACTTATTTCCTGATTATAATGACTGAAAATACCAAGATGATCTTGAATCATGCTTATATCCTCTTTCAAATATAAAAGTAAATGATATAATATCTCAAGTGACCTTTTCCCATATATTTCTCTCTCAAGATCATGCATATTATTATATAATATAGTAAAAACAGGGTAGCCAGCCACATCGAGATCTCCCTGTATATCTATTAATTCCCCACTAAATCAAATAACAGCCCAAACGAATCTTCAAGTGTTTTTTCTTTTTTGCTTTGATTCAATGCTGTTTGATTTCTACTCTCAATAGGTCTCTTTCCTGGGTCTGAGAACATACTGAATTTTTTCTGAATAGCTATTATATCTTTCTTCTTATACAAAAGCACTTCATATAAAAGCTCATATAGCTCATCATATAATTAAGCATCGACTTGATCAGATTTATTATTAGTATTGCTTGTCATGATTGTGTTTATCTCTAGTTAGCATATATTCAATTTTGTATCTAGAATATTGATCATCAACCTAGAGCAGTGATCGCCAGTTCAGAAGAATTTCTGCTAGACCATGTATTGTGAAACAAAAATAGGCTAATCACATAATAGGTCTGTATAACATATTAATTTTTGCATATAACGAAAAGAAATATATATGTTAACTAAGTTCCTCTATTTTTTTTCCTAAATAAATGTAAGAAAATGTGAAAGAGTGTCTAGTTGCAATACAGGACCTACCGTAAAAGTAAATATTGACGGTAAAAATATATGTTATGAAAGGCTGAGGGACTCAAAATTTCGAGATCGCTAGGCGTAGAACCAAGTTTGTGTCTTTTCGGTAGATCTACATATGAAAAGGTATGAGGATTCCATTTACATGTGCTTTCATAAACTCTTGGTATCATACAACAATACTAATTACACCTCATACTTTCTTATCTTTTTCTCAGCAAGATATAAAGCATGTAAGAGTACGTGGAAGTTCAGCCAACATTCCTGCGAAAATTTAAGATATGTATATGTTAGAAGTTATATATGTATAGGAGCGAAGTTCTCACTATGGGTTCTTATATTTAGGAAAACAAGATGGCTTTCAGCGAAGATAATGATATTATTAGTCTTAACTTCCGTTATCATAATGCTGAAAATAAAAATATACTTTTCGTGATAGAGATTTCTAAGGATAAAAAAGTCTCAGATCTTGAAGAAGAAGTAAGAAAGAAGCTGGAGTCAATCAATCGTAACGATTTCCTCCGTTAAATTTATCCTGAAGAGAAGCCTATGCGAACAGAAGACAGGATTTTCTCCTATTTCAATAGGACACCTGATGATGAAGACCGTATTCACATCTGAATTCTCCCCTAACGAGTAGTTAGAATTTTTTTATCTATATTTATATAATAATGATATATTCGCAATTTTTATGTAATGTAAGCCAGCTTTCGGCAAGATTTTTTTATTTTTTAAATAAAGCATATATTATGTTCTTATTGTAAATCTTGAAAAATATCACGTGTAATAATGTAATATAATCGCTTAACAATTCTGTACTATATCTTAATTGCATATATATATTGGGCAAATGCATTATGAATCAATACAAAAAAATCTATCATTTCTTTCTGAGTGTCAAAAACCAAAAAATACTTTTATATTCATAAACCAGCTTTACCTGTATCTGCTGTCAGGTGCATAAATTTTTTCACAAGCACAAACTTACATATATAAAAACCATGTCTTCACAAGCCTCTACACCTTCTTCTCCAAGCTTAATAACGGAAGAAATTTCTTCTCGAACAATGTCAGACATGGTTAAGGATTTTAATACAGAGGAGCTTATCAATTATCTGGAAAGGAAAGACTTGAAACTCAATGAAGATGATATTAAAATTTTTCGCAAAGAGAAAGTTGCTGGTTGTGATTTTCTTAAATTAACAGAGGAAAAGCTTGAGTGTTATAGAATGAAAGATGAGCCAGCAACAAGACTTGTAGACTTTATCAAAGATCTCAGCCAAAAGCTACAAAACTATTTCTCGCTTAAAACTCTCGACGACTTAAAGAAAATATTACATAAAAATAAGGTGAACAGGGAAGATATAACAAACATCAAGCAGTTCACTCCTGGTAGGTAATTAATTAATTTTCGAAACTGACTAGATAACTATATTAACTTTATTTTTCTCTATAGTCTTCGAGGAGATTAGTGATGATGATAAAGCGTTCGAACACTGTATGGAGGATATTATCTTAAAACTTTTGAACGTGAAGACCATGATCGATGCTAACGAGGCAACGCACTATAAATTTATTTCAGCTATATTACATGCGTCAATTGCTATTGCTAAAAAACTCACCTCTCAAGATATATTCATAGTTTTACAGAAAGATGTTATTGGTGAAGATGCTATTGGCCGAGTAGACTATGCGATCAAAAGTCTAGAAGATCTTCTTTGCATCACTGAAGGGAAACCACGAAATATTAAGATTAGATATGCACAGGTAAGCCTACTATCCACATTTTCGCTTGTTTGCATAGCAAACGATATTAATGATGGTTTATCTCTTAGAATCTAGCACAACTTGAAAGCGTATTTCAGACAAATAAAAAAAAATAGACTGTGGATCAAGCATTCAGGAATGACTATTTCGACTATATCTATAGTATTGTGACCACAGGTACGGAATGGCATTTTATCATATATACTCCTGATGGTATATACTCTACGAGTGAAAGTGAATATCAAATTAATCTCACGAAGTCCACCGTTAAAGAAAATCCTGAGCTACTTCAAAATAACGTGAAAAGGGTAATAGGTATAATTGTTAGGTTGTTAAAGGATCAGGTTAGTGTAGATAGTTCTCTATCTAGCAAGAGGCTAGGATCAAAAAAATTATCAAAAAATAATATGTATCACAGATTACGTCTCGAACTTTGTATTTATATTTCGCATGTATTAATAAAATGTATTTTTTCTTAGCATTTTTCTGAGATCGCGCAGTCCTAAAAATCTGGTAACTTTATAACCTATTTCTCTTGGTAAAATATTACAGTCTCTATGTATATATACTAACTAACTTTTGAATATTTCACTTCTTGTATAAAACTTATCAATCATGTCATCTGAGCTTGAGTATTGAAATAGCGTATCGTTAAACTTGAGGCTAAGAATGCTGAGCTTGAGGTCAAAAAAGCTGAACTTTTAAAGTGAATTATGGAAGAGAATACTAGACGAGATTTTAGAGTTGAGGAACTGGAGCAAAAAAATAAGGAGCTTGAGACCAAACTTGCGATAGCGAAACAGGCTTCCTTACTAGTAAAAGAGCAGCTGTATAATAATAATCCTTCAGATAATAGTACATCTAACTTTAATTCAGTTGCAGAGTATCATGAGAAACCATTGGTGAATGTGAAAACAGATAATTCCTTTCCTGAAGAGGTTTGCTATAATAAACAAGAACTGGTGGCGACAGTACCTGCCAACTCTGCGAAATGCCTTAACGGCAAACTGTTGAAAGAGAAAGATATGAATAATTTCTTGCTTGAGGCTCATAAGAAAATCGTTAGTAGTGAAATAAAGTGATGCAATAAGGAAAAGAAGAATGAAAAAATGGGCAGGGATTGATTCAAGAAATTTCTTCATCTGTATCCAAAGAAAATCATGTGATTAAAATTTCTGAGATCGCGCGGTCTCAGAAATCTGATAATTCAGATGCATTAGTGTCTTCATTTTATGAGACTACTATGATAGAGATATCTCAACATTATGCCCAGTTATGTAATAAAGCGCTTATTGCAGAAGAGCACAGATTGGAAGCAAATCAAGAAGAAATATTATGCTGGTATCACTATAGAAGAAATTTCATATTTCAGTTAGAGGCCTTGTGTGATAATAATAAAATTAGTGAAAAGAAGGCAAGAGGTCTAATATATGATGAAGTCGTGAAGCAAGTTAATATCCTTCGTAAGAAAAGATCTCAAAATATAGGGGTGTCACTCTCAGACATAACAAGAGATGGTTTGCGCAAAAAAAACTCAGAGAGCTGAGAAGATCTACAAGCTTCTCGAAAAAATAGGATTGGATAAAATCTAGTATATCAAGTTGTATAATACGAATGAAATATCAAAGTTTACTAATGATGAAATCCAAAAGATTATGGATCATTTCTCAAATAAGCCCAGTACAGATTTCAGTGAGAATCAGGACAATTTTATTAATGATGATTCTTCCAGTCAAACTGATACATCAGAGGTACGAGCAAATCCCTTAGTTTTAGCAGAGGTAAACGAATCAACAGCACCTATCCCTTTAACCTATGACTCTAATTCTTCTGATGATTCCAAAGAAGTCAGCTCAAGCAATTCGCTTGAAGCTGAGGACGATTACTACAAAATGCTCTTGGAAGATTGTGCGAAAGATTGTGTGTATTTTGATTCTGCATCAGTAAAAGGAATGAATGAAGAAGTTATTTCGCAATCAGTTAAGTCAGATGATGATAGTGACTGTAATCATGATAGTTATGTTTGCTTAAAGCAAACGATGCCAGAAGATTCAGATGAGGATGGATATAATGATTACGGTGGATATAATGAATACGGTGAACGTGATAGAGGTTACAGTCAACGACCAAAATTATGCGGACATTTTGATTTGTCAAAATTAGGCAGATCGATCATTACGTGATTACATATTAAAACAATACGTCATTTTTTACTTATGACGATAAACAATACCTCAA